GCTCCCAGTCCCCTCCGCAGGCTGCCAGGGTCGAGCTTTCCTTTTGCTTTTCTTTTTCGCCCTTGGCTCCCCCCACGGCTTTGCTACTCTCTCTCTGTACAGTGTTTCTGCTCCGGGGGCCCGTGGCAGAGCTGCGGTACCGAGTACGATGCTGCTGGCCCCCGGCAAGAGGCATGGGGCACGGTGGCCAGCGGAGGGTGGGCGTCCCCAGCCGGCACCCTTCTCGCTGCCCTCGGGGGCTCGGGGGGTCCTTCAGAGGACGCTGATGGGAGCAGCACGGGGCTATCACCACTGGTTTTTAGATTGAAGGCTTCCTTCATTCTTCATTAGCGACTATAATAAGCATTACTCTTTTTTACATGCAGAAATGGGTGGCCCTACTTAAGACTTTAAACTCACTTGCCTGGAGCAAGTCCAACCCAGTAATCCTTTCAACGGCAAAGACGTGGCACTGTGCATAAGACCCAGCTGGTTTACAACCCTCCCCAATTTCTGAAAGCTACTATAGACATTAACCACTGCAAAGTTAAAAATGGATATTTTTATATCTTAATGTGATACAAAATTATTCATTCTGCCTTGAGAGAAGTGTATTTTCAATAAAGCAAATTCCTGTTCATCTGACTTCTTTCTTGCTTGGCTCTTCTGCTTGGCAATTAATGAGGCCCTGAACTGTTGAGGGTGTTGTAGTAGTAGCAATATACAGTATGAGTTTGTTTAATTTTCTCTATGGTGCGTGGTGGTTTAAAACGCAGGCAATAAAGTTTTCTCTTTCCCATGTTACACAGGTATATTGGATAATATCTAGTGTCCAGAGATACTTTTTTTCCCAGGAAAGTGAGAGAGATGTCAATAATTCTGCGATTCTCTAATTTAGATTTTATTACCAATTTTTTCTGGCCTAAAGGTAGCTAGTTATGTCATATTTTTCCCATTCTTTATTGCACAAACTATTTTTGAATTGAGCTTCAATGTTGTAGAAGACTTTTGAAATGCTAATAATCCAGCTTTAAGATGCCAATGTGAGTTTTAATTGTTTTTCTTCTTCTTGCAGATGTTCTGGAAGGCTACAATGGCACGATCTTTGCTTATGGACAGACATCATCAGGAAAAACGCATACTATGGAGGTACAGTGGCAAAATTAAATCAGTTTGGTAGCAGCAGTAGAATTATATGTACCAATTACCTGAGCAAGCCAGCTATCTGGAGCACTCAGCTGTGAGTGACATATGAAAAGAGATCTGGGTATGTTTAGCTTCCACTGCCTTTTAAGCTGTAGTATTTCTTTCAGTGTGGAGTTTTTTTCAAGAGATGTCTACAGATACCTAGCTAAACTAACAAATGGCGAGTGAAAAATATCAAGTATAGTTTCTCCATATTTGTCGTACCTGTTTAGGTATGTATATATTTTAAGGGATTTGAGTGAGATTTGTTAATCCAGAAATGAAAACAGTAATAAGGGTCTGTAGAGTTCCCTTGCATGCAGGATTATGAAAATTCATGCCACGGTTATTTGTTTTCTCATTTGCACTCCCCTTCTGGGAATACCACTCGCATGCTGCAGCACAGATGGATGAATTTGAGAATTGTTGCTTTGGAGGAGAAGAATACCAAATTATAGCAAATTCCAGTGGCTGGAGTCCTGAGTCTGTTCCTATTTCTGCTACATGAAGTGTGACGGTGTCATTTTTTTCCTGTGGGTTTTTTTTTTTTTAACTGTTCAGTTAGAAGACATTTAGGTATTTTAGTCTCTTGCTAAAAAAGTAGGATCATTCAGGCATTTAATCCTCGCATAGGATTGTTCCATCACAACACTGTACGAGCTGGGTGTATATGTCTTGGGGCATTTCAGTTCGGCTGTGAACTTTAAACAGGAGGTCTACAGCAAAGTTTTGCTAAATGAAAGGAAAAAATGAGCGTTCCTTTAAGAGCATCAGATGGTTTTGCTACACGATTAACGCAGGTGACCTACCTGACCTGAAGGTTAAAGGAGAAGGAAAGCAATATTCTCCTGAGCCAGCAGGCCCTGGTGAAATTGCTGTTCGATTGCCACAGTTCCTCCTTTCCTGGAGGATGCAGTAACTGATGCCTCACGTCTAATTAAGTCTGTCCTTGCGAGGATGGGGGAAATCACTAACTCAGCCCTCACAGATGGCACAAGGGCTGAGTAATCCACCAGCTCTGAATGTAATTAAATCAAAATGTCTGCAGGGCTTGAGCTGGTGCTTCCACATGGCATAGGGAAAGGAAAGATCTCTTAAAGCCAATTTATATTCAGAATTACAAGCTGTGATAAAGAAAATGACTGTAGAAAAATGGCTGTTTTACTTCTTTAATAAAGAAAAAGCTGTCATTTTAAAGTGGAATCAAATCTATATTCAGTTTTAATCCCCCTTTTAACCTAACATCCTCTTGTAAAGTTGCTAAAGTATGTTGTGGAAAAAAAAAAAAAGTCTGAAGTTGAAGAAATAGTAAATCCTCTTGGTAAAGCTGTTATGGAGGATTTTCTGTGAAATGTGAAATGCTTCATAGTGTTAGTGTTAAGCTTAAACAGGACACAGTAGTATAGTATAGCCCGGATAGGCTTTCTGACATACGTAGGTCTTTCTCCCGTGCTAGATAAAGCATTTGCCAACCTGTATAGCAGGATATAACCAAAACCTTCTTAAAAAAAGATGTATTTTTGCCCATAAGATTATATTGATGGGCTTTGACCTTGTAATAACATTTTCAATAGTGGGTCCCTATAGATTGTAGTTGTTATGTCAACATCCTGAAATAAACCAGCACTGTCTCAAATGTTACACTTCACTAGCTACTGCCTGCCTGCTATGTTTAAATGTGGAAATTAATGCTTTTATTAAAATGAGAGGCTTTAATGAGCAAAGAACTCTCCATCCTGGTGCTTTGGGGGACGTTACTAACTGCAGTGTCAGCACGGCAGCAGCAGTACATTTCTCCAAACTCTTTCTGAAGTTACAGCTAAATCCATGAGAGCAGGTTTTTTGGGTTTTTTTTTTTTATTCCAGCTTTCCAGTGAATAGCCTACCTTTACCTTTCTCTTCCCTTCCAGTTTATGGTCTTCATAAATTATAGTGGGACCTGCTTCAATCATCTCCTGTTTTAATAACAATCCATTGATAATAAAGTAAAAATATTTTTTTCAATACATCCCAGAGTGCTGGTGTTACAGCATTTTAAAAGATCTTAACTCTTTATTTGCAAAGCAGTGAATGTGATCTTGCTTCACTGAAGTTTCTACTGACTTAAATGGCGAGAAAGCCCAAGCCCAAGAAGTTGTAGATGCAGTGATTGAGTTACATGCACACTTAATCATGTTTTACAGATTGTTTTCTCTTCTGAGTTAGAGAAAGCTATGTAAGGGAAAGCAGAATTATTACAGGGCTTGTTGAGGCTAGGAGGATGTTTAAATACTTTTATAAGTTGTCACTTACCCAGAGCCCAAGCAATTATTAGAGGAAGGGTTTACCTAGTGCCGTGATCCCAAAGCTGATGCACCTCTGTGCAGACAGAAGTCTCTGCAATAAAACTCTGAATTCAAACGTTGGCTGAGCTAACAACCCAGCTCGATCAAAGCTACAATAGAAAAGGGGGCACTAAACAGCTCTAGCATTTCTCGTTCTGTAGCTGCTTTTGCCTTAGGAATCGTGCATCTTGCAGTGCTATATAGGGTAGACATACCTTTGGTTGCATTTGTGCGCGCTGAAGAAATACCAGCAAATCTCTGTTTATTCTAGTTTAGGAAAAACTCCTTTCTGCTTTTTGGGAAAACTCTCTCTGTGCAGTAATACAAGGTAGTCAGTTGGTTTCAGTGAGCTTTTTGAGGACTTCTTCAGGGAGAAGGGATGGATAGTGTGAAAATTGTGTTGCGGTCTCTGCTCAATAACAGCGCTGTGTGGTGGAACCGAGTGCCGTATTAGCAAGGTAAAATGAAGAGTTGGTGTTTGGTTAAAGTGTTTGTTTGTGCATATAACTTTTCCCCTTCATCAAAGATTTAGTTTATTTAATCACCCTCTTTTTCATTCTCATGGTCTGAAATAAAATGGTGTGTCATATGACATGAACTTTTTAGTTTTTGAGAAGCTTAATAGGATGTTGGATGTGGTATAGTGTTTAACTGCTTCCACTGCGGAAGATAATATTATTTGTATAACATAAATAAAATATTCACGGTTTAGATACAGCTGGGTGCTGCTTTATAGGGAAGACAATCAGCAATGTAACTGATTTATCTCTATTCCACCCCCCTCCTTTTTTTCCCCAAGATGCGTAATTCAAGGGCAGAAACCTAGTAACTGCTTTAAATACAAGCTTTGAGATAGAGATTGTGTTAGTTCTTCATGTTCAATTTCCTTCATCCTAGGCTGATGCTTGGAAGTTGACTGTCATTTCACCAGCTTTAGCATAAAAGCAGCGATGTCTAAAAAGACTATATTTGAGTATACTAATAAAGGCTGAGAAACTTGGAAAACAGGTCAATGTGACCCATTAGTCATTCACAAGCATGCGTAATACTGAGAAACACATGTACATGTGTATGATTTTCTTCCTATTTTGCTAAAAAAATTTTGCTCTTTAATAATTTTTAGCACTTACAGATCAAATCCGACTTGCCATGATTTGGAACTGTATGGTTGCCCACTATATTAAAAAAAAAAAAAAAATTCCCTACCACTATTTGGAGTAAGATGCTTTGTTGTGCTGATATGGATGGTAATACTTGGAGAAAGATATATTCAAAAGGTATTGTAGAGTTTGTAGATGCTGTGTTCTGATGGAGTCTTACGACTACTGACTTGTTATTGCATATTTAAGCAGTTTCATAAAACATTTGGAAATAACAATACAGTGTAGAAGAGGGTTTTATTTTGAGTTTATATTTCTATTCAGTTTTCAAGTGGCGTTAGCTTTCCTGTATGTGTCTGGCTTTTCCAAAAAGAGCAATGCAACTAAAAGGAGCCATACAGCCAGGGAAATTGTTGTTTTTAGTTAATATTCAGTTCTTGAAAGAATGGAGGAAGGTAGTTGTGCAAATTAGCATGGAGAACAGTAGTGTTTGTAAGGCACAGTTCGCTGGCAGTAGGCCCAGCAAGCTCAAATCAGAATATATTACTCTAATCCCCAAATCCCCGCAACCCAGATTTCCCTTTAGCTTTCTAGCATAGTGGGGAAAGAGAAACAAAATACTTTAATACTTCTTGTTTCTGACATGTTTCCAAATATCTGATTTAACTGGGAGAACCAGGCTGTAATTTGTACATTTGTTTGTGTTTATTCCTCTATCTTTGGTGGGAGAGTGACAGTGTAAATAGCGGCAGGAAAGCACGCTTGGCAAACGGCAGGAGCTGCCAAAACGAATAGGTGCTCGGTCAGGTGAAGAGCGCTAACATGTCGGGTCGTTCTGCCACCTTTTCTGTGCGCTTATATCGAGCAAATCCCCCCAGAGCAGCAGACCCGTTCGTAGGGGCCCACTGGAGGAAGGTGTGCTTGGACCAAGGCTTTCTCCTCTCTTGTGCCTGAGCAAGGCTTTCCGAGTTACCGTTTGCTTTTGTGTCCGCAGGGGAAGCTGCATGACCCTCAGCTCATGGGAATCATTCCAAGAATTGCACATGACATCTTTGATCACATCTATTCCATGGATGAAAACCTGGAGTTTCATATAAAGGTAAATGCGGAATGACGTTTTATGTAATGAGTCGGATGGAAGAAAGTTGAGCTGGATGGGAAATCTGCATTCACACTATAACATTGTGCTGCAGAGTTTTTCCTTTCTCCCTTCTATAACTCAGAAAACCATTAGGTTACTGAGGGTATTTACTAGAAATAATTCAATACAGTAACTGGCCTTTGATGTGAAGTTTTTTGGAGTGTGTTCTCAGCTCAGATTTGCTAGTCCGTTGCTTGCTTTGTCTCTCACCACAGGTGATAGACCAGCCAACATGGTAAGAAAACACTTATTTCACTGCAGCTTCTCCGAAGGCTGTACCTCAGCCCCACTAGTGATGACCATAAATACTATTGGTCTGCATGACCTTTGAGGGAATACTGCCATGTTGTTCCTAGCTCAATGACATAAACAGTCCTCCATGATATGTGGGTTTGAAACGGAGGAAAGATGGCTTTGAGCAATTTACGGAAGGATGTTTAGAAGTAATTTTTAATCTCAAAATCTTACATATGGGTTCCCTAAGATGGTGGACTAAGTCTTGATTTGAACAGCTGATACATTTTCCCTGTCCTTATTGTGATACCAAACATACGATCTCAAATTATTGGAGTGACCTTTAATTCCTGCT